GCCGACCCCAGCCTGCTCCCAGCCTGCCGCAGAGGTACTCTCAGCAGGAGCAGGTGGGGGAGCGGGACACACACACTCTGGCAGGTGCTCCTCCCAGCATGAACTCTCCGCTAGAGGTCTTACCATTCGCCCTGTAACTGGGGGAAAATAGCTCCAGAGAAAGGCAACAAAAGCCCACCCATTCCCCCTCCATTCCAGCCAAGGAGGGAAGGGCTGACGGGAATGTGTGTAAGCTTACATTCTGCAGAGCCTCCTCTTGTTTGTTTCTGTACCTGTAAATGAAGGCAACAGAGCCGCTGGCAGAGTGGCCACACATGGAAGTGCAGCGGTCACAGGTTAACTCAGTGACTGTGGTCATGTGACCAGTTCTGAGGTTGATGGACTGGCTGCCCTGTAGCATGAGTTGGTCTCTCAGCCTCTGATTCCTTGCCTGGAAAGAAACAGACTTGTCTTCATTCAGGAGATGGCCTTTAGACCATCTGGTCATTGTGGGTTAAGTAATGACTCCAATCGTGTCTGCAAGTGAAAGAGCCAAAGAGCAAAGAGGCTTAGAAGCTTCACGAGTGGAGTGAAGGCAAACTACAGTACAAGCGTGAGACCAGATATCCCTCGCTGCTCTGTGCTCTGGAAAATGTCACATGGGTTTCTTCAGCTAGATCCCTCTTCTCTGCACGGGTTAGGTCCATCTCTGTGCTGGCCTTCCCTCACCTGAGTCAACTTCTCTAGGGGTGCTGCGCCACAATATGCATTGCCTCATGCTGCTTAGTTATCTCTCAGCTATAGAGAAAATTGATTTGCATAAGGTTTTGGCCCCCTTGTACCTCATGGGAGAAGTACTTCATCCACGCCTGTCCAGAAATTCTTGTTTATTTCTAACACTTAAGCCCAATAAAAATAGTGTGATGGTCGCAGAGTATTTGCCAGCTGTTTCAGATGTGGGGGTGATTTGCTCCAGATTTGTTTACTTCCAGTGGAAAAGTTTGCACAAAGCTGCCTTTTGGGCTTTTACCAAGAAGGAAGCTTCCCTGGGTCTCTGCTCGGAGCCAGCTCCTGTTGAGTAAAAGCTGGAGTAACTACAGGTCCTGTTTCTAATAAATAGCAAGAGAGCAGAAGCGTCTTTCTTTCTCACAGTGACTTATGTTGGTCTGCTTTCTACTCTGAACCCCCAGGACACACAGACACTCAGGTGGCTCAGCCAGAACAACCACAGCAACGGGTGAACAAAGCCCTGGTGCTAGGAACCGGCCCCGCCAGCCCGTGAAGAACCCCAGCAGCAGTGGCTTAGCCAATGGTACAGGTGAGTGATGACACTCAGCACCAGCCTGCACTACAGCAGGATGCTCTTGCCTGTCCTGTTTGCACTTGGGGCATTGCCTTCTGTGCCAGAGTATGGTGGAGTGAGAGAGGATGCCAGCACTGTGGGAATTTGAGTCCATTACTTAGTCCCTCGGCCCGACTTCTTTGACCTCTGGCTTGTTCTGGAGAGCCGAGGTGTTCCCACTCATGCCTGAAGAGTGTTGGGCTGGGGCTCGGTTGGTAGAGTGTTTGTGTAGCATGCACGAGGCAGACCTTGGGGTCAGTCTTCAGCACCTCATAAAACTGGCTTAGGCATGGAGAGACAGAGTGAGACAGGAGGATCAAAAAAAGTCATCCTGACTATATGACAAATTCAAGGTGAGCTGGGATACATGAGATCCTGTCTCAGAAAATAAAAGTGGAAAACGAAATATTCCTGTGTACAGAGGTCATTTTAAAAGTATGCTTTTTCATTAATTTCTTATCAACATTGGCTCTAATTTGTTTACAAATATTTAAAATATTTATTCAGTTTAGTTTTTATGTGCGTGTGTGTGTGTGTGTGTGTGTACCTGAGGGTGTATATGTGCACCTCATGTATGCAGGTGCTCTTGGAGGCCAGAAGAGGGTGTTGCGTCACCTCAAACTAGAGTTACAGCACTGTGAGTCACCCACTTTGGGTGCTGGGAACTGAGCCCAGATCCTCTGAAAGAATGCTCAACCACTGAGCCATGTCTCCAGTCCTGTTGTTGTTTTGAGGCAGGGTCTCCATGTATAGCCCTGGCTGGCCTGGAACTCACTATGTAGACCAGGCTGGCCTCAGACTCATAGGGGTGTGCCCACCAGTCCCCCACGTGCTAGCATCAAGGGGGGGGGGAACTACCACACCCATGGCCTATTTGGAAAAAAAAAAGAATCCAGTTTAGGGAGTTTGTAAACTGGGAAAAAAGAAAAGACTGAGCTTGTTCTAAGAACTGAGCAGGAGAAGACAGCAGCATTCTGAGGGGTCAAGATGCTGGCAAGGATTAATTCCCCACTAGGAATGCTGTCACCATTCCACATGGACACCGTGGGAGAAGAGACACTGGTGCTCTCCACACTCAGGGACCTTTCTGTAGGGGGTTCTGTTTCCCTGTACTCAGGAAAGGAAGGCCTGTTACAAAGTAAATCATTTCATCCCGTTTCTGTCTCATTGAGACAGTGTCAGGCAAACAGTCATTGTCTAGTTTTTGAGAACTGTTAAATCTTTAGTGACAACAGACCATTGAGTCATTTGTCTTCCTTTTGGGTCCAATGGGAGGAAACATGGACGTTTCCACAGACTGTAGAGAGGGGAGTGTGATTGCACTGGGAGTGACCTGGAAATGAGTTTTATAGGCGCCTGTTTGTGAGTGCAGAAGTATGACATGAAGACACAGCGGTCACTATTGTGACTGTTATTTTCCTGTGTGTAACAGACCGACTGAGTAGTTAATCATTCTACTCTGACAGCAATTCTCCGCAGGTTGCTCTGTCATGGATTTCAGTTCTTTGGAAGCAGTGTGAGGGCCCCAGAGCCCCTCTGTGGCTTATGTTGCCTGGCTATCTCACTGTGTACAGGGAATGGCAGGGCGAAGTGGCAAGCCTTGACTTCCTTCCTGGAATTGGAGACATGTCTGAAGGAAGTGAATTAACCAGCTCCCATGAACCTCTTGGATGACCATAACTGCAGGTGTGGAGTCCCAGCAGCCTCTTTCTCAGCCTTTCCAGTGCTCAGGGGCCAAACCCGTATCCCTGCGCTAGATCCTCCTCATCTGCATGAAGGACGGCATGCAAGTGGCTCTGGACTGGTACACAGAACCACACATAGCTTTTGAGCAGCAACAAACATGCTTTTCTTAGAAAGCAAGTTTTTGTAGAGACGCCTGCTGGACACAGCCACATCACCCTGAAATCCCTTGTACACAGCAAATAGCCAGGTAACACATGGAAGCAGTCCCCAGATGCAGTGGCTGGGCCACCAGTCACTTTATCCTTCCAGGGATCTACAGTACCACAATAGTGGTGTCCATCCATCCTCTGCTTTTATAAAAGCTGTTGATAAACTGACTCCATGTGGTAGTGGTCTTTGAGTCAGTCTTCAGGGACATTCAAAGATTTAAAAACTTCTAAAATTTTTGTGTGGGGGTGTCTCTGTGGGTATGTTCATGAGTACATGTGCCCACAGAGGTCAGAGGCATTGGCTTTCCCAGAAGGTGATTGTAAGTCTCCTGGTGTAGGTGCTGGGAATTGAACCCAGTTACCCCCCAGCCCCCTCCCAAGAGGAATATGAGTTTTTAACCTCTGAGCCACCTTTCCAGCCCTTCTGGGATATCAGCACATCTTTATTTGCTTTACACTTAGTTCTAGGTACCTTTGCTTGTCTTTATATCCAGAACACTGTGTTCTCGCTTATGAGGTAGGTGCCAACTATGTCTTTAAAAAGCCACATGTGTCTAACTCCACACTGCTCTGAACACGTTTTACAGTAGTGCGTCTGAATGCCCAAACAGTTCCTAAAACCCAGCTTCAAACAGCAGCTTCTGTCTGTTAACACAGGAAGGTCTCTGCCTCTCCTCTGCCTCTCTTCTCTCTCTCCTCTGCCTCTGCTTCTCTTTTCTCTCTCCTCTGCCTTTGCCTCTCTTCTCTCTCTCCTTTACCTCTGGCCTCCTCTTTTTGCAATGATGACAGTTCATCTTGACTTCACTGGCAGCCTGGACTATATGAAAACAGAAAGCTAGAACTATTTTCAGGGCAGAGGCTGGACAGAGGGAGACAAAGGCTCCCCTCTTGCCAGTGCTAATGTGAATGAGGATGTCTCCAGCCCTCCCTGTTAGGCCTGTGAGGGCCACTTCCGGGATGGCAGCTTAGAAGCTATGCCTTCTGATGGGATTTTCACAGACATGCAGAATTAATCTAACAGTCTCCTGTTGGCTGTGTAGTATACTTATGCATGTAAAAGATATTAGGGAAAAACCAGAGCTCTTAACTGTTGTCTCTCTCCAGCCTCTTGTTCACTCTTTTAAAATGGTTTCTACAATGGGAGTGTAACTTATCAACAGTTGATAGAATGCTTGCCTAGCTTGCATGAGCCCTGGGTTCAATCCCTAGCCCCATGTAAACTCAGTTCAAGGGAAGCCAGGACTATGAGGCCCCATCTCAAAAAAATCAAATTAATAAGCCAGGCGCAGTGGCTCATGCCTGTAACTCCACCGCTCTGGGAGGTAGAGACAGGTGGATCTCTGTGAGTTCCGGGCCAGCCTGGACTACAAAGTGAGTCCAAGACAGCCAAGGTTACACAGAGAAACCCTGTCTCAAAAAATAAAAACAAACAAAAAATCAAATTAAAATAATAACTTCTAGTGTAGTTAATAGCCATCCATCATTTAACTATTCTCCCTCAATATGTACATCCTTCCCTGTTTTTTTGTTTTGTTTTGTTTGAGATAAGAGTGGTGTTGGGTAACCCTGTCTAGTTGAGAAGACTGTCTATATGCTAGGCTGGCTTTGAACATAGAGAACTCCTCCTGCCTGTGTCCCGAAAGTGTTGCCATTACAGCCATGCCCTTTTGCTGGCATGCTTCCCTCTTTGCATACAGCTTTGCTCTGGGGAAAAATAGAAACACATTTTTGAAGAACCAATTCTACCTGTGTTGTCTAGGTTGGCCTTGAATTCCTGGGCTCTATCTGTCCCACTGGGCCCTTCTCCTGAGTAGCTGATTCTGTATGCACGGGCCACTTTATACATAGCTTTTGAGTGCAGTTCTTGAGTGCGTAGATAATGAATTTTTTAAATTGAGATCGATTTTTTTTTTTTTTTAAAAAAAAAGAAGATTGCTTATCTGTCCAAAGCTGCATAAAATTTTCACAAAATAGCATATGAGATTTTCTTTTTTCTCTAACCTTGTAAATACTGTTCTGGTTTTTATGTTGTGAATGTTATGTTCCACCTCACAGTTTATTCTCACTCTTTCTTGTTTTAGTTTGTTTTGTGGTTGGGGATTAAACTCTTGGCTTCACGCATGCTATACACACGCTTTACTACTGAGTTACATGCCAGCCCTCACATCTTTCTCTGTATTGGAGCCCTGTTCTCACTGGACGTTAATGAAGCAGCTTTCACAGTGGCTTTTACCTGGAGTTCGGCACTCACTGCTGTCTTCTATACTGTGAGAATTTGTTTCTTGTTTTGTGTGAGTCCCACATATTTTGGTTATTGGGATAGTATTTTTAATATTTTTATTTTATGTATATAGGTGTTTTGCCTGCATTTGTCTGTCACCATGTGGCTTCCAGACACCTTCTTTACAGGGAGTCAGATGCCCTGGAGCTGGAGTTACAGCTGACTGTGGGCTGCCATGTGGGTGCTAAAAATTGAACCCAGGTCCTCTGGAAGAACTGCCGGTGATCTTAACCACTGAGCCAGCTCTCCAGCCCTGGCATAGTATGTTTGTTTGTTTGTTTGTTTCCGAGACAGAATTTCTCTGTGTAGCCTTGGCTGTCCTAGACTCTCTTTGTAGACCAGGCTGGCTTTGAGCTCACAGTGATCTGCCTGCCTCTGCCTCCCTGAGTGCTGGATTAAAAGTGTGAGCCACCAGGCCCAGCTGCATGGTATGTTTTTTAATGTCTAAAAGAGCAAGCTCTGCCTTGTTACATTTTGTCTTTGAAAGTTCATAGAGTTTTCAAAGCAAATTTTAGACTTTAAACTTTTAGAGGCAACCTAGGTTTCTCTGTGTAGCCCTGGCTGTCATGGACTCATTTTGTAGACCAGGCTGGCCTTGAGCTCACAGAGATCTACCTGCCTCTGCATCCCAGAGTGCTGGGATTACAGGCGTGCGCTACAATGCCCGGCCACCCCTTTTTTTTTTTTTTTTAAATTCTCATATAACTTTACTTTTTTTGTTTGTTTGTTTGTTTGTTTACTTAAAGATTCATTGTTGTTTTTGAGAGAGGATCTCACTTTGAAGTTCTGGCTAGCCTGGA